GAATCCCAGCGGCTGTGGCGGGCAGGAAGATGTCCCACCCCAAGCCGGGGCAGCTCCCTTTCCTTCCCGGCTCCCCGGCCTCTCCCAGGGGAGCAGCAGCAGCCAGGGGGGGTTTGGGAAGGGCAGAGGCCGGGCAGGAACCGGCGGGCCCGGGGGAGCTGCTGTGAGCTCACGCTGGGCTGGCCCGGGCACACACAATGGCCCCTGCGGGTACCAGGAGGAAGAAAACTCCCCGAGGAATTTCCTCCAGCGTCGGGCCTGCTCAGAAGCTGTTCCTCAGGGATGCAGGCCAGCACTGAGCACATCCCTGGCTCTGGATGGAAATCCCTTGCACGGAGCTGGCTGTCCTCATGGTCCCTGCAATGGCCCCAGGTGGCCCTGTGGGCACCAACCTCCTCAGGAGCCAGTCCCTCTGGAGTTCCATTATCCCTGGGCCTTTCCTCTACCACCACACACATCCCAGCTCCTGCAGGCAAAGGCGTGTCCTGCCTGGCAGAGGCCGTGGGTGTCTGTCCCACGGGGACTCTGGGTGTGGGAGCAGCATCCCTGGAATTCCCAGGTGGAGGCTCAGGTGCGGCCAGCCCGGCTGGGCCCGTGGCCAGCTCACGCCTGCACAGCAGCCAGCAGCACCAGCCCCACCAGCTCAGCACAGCTCAGCTCCCACAGCTCAGCTCCCACAGCTCTGCCACCTCCTGCACATAACAAAGGAGCTGCCAGCTTGTGCAAGATGGATCTCCCGGCTCTCAGCGGCGTGGCTGAACTTTCTGGACTTTCACAACCCACAAAACCAGTAATTAATCGTGCTAATGATCGGTTCTCCTTCTATCCCCATCAATCTAACCTGGGGAATGTTTACAGCTCAATAGTGCCACACACAGAGGCTCAGGGAAAATGAGATGGGGTTTTTTATGAGCTCTCCTCTCATTCCTGGTTCCTCGGGCAGCACAAATAAATCATCCCCTTTGAAATCGTCCCCTGGGAGCAGCCAGGCCCAGCAGCCCCACGCTGAGTGATGGTGAAACAAGGGAGGAATGAGCACAGAGCATCCAGGCCGGTGGGAAATCCCAGGAGTTCATTTATTCCCAGTTAGAGCTGATCACTGCAGTGGCAGGGGCTCTGCACTGCCAGGAGGGATCATCAGCACGAGGAGCAGGCCTGAGCTCCCTCCACAGCCAGCAGAAGGTGCTGGGAGTGCTGGAAGTGGAGCCTTGTGAGCTCCAGCTGTGGGGTGGAAAGCTGGAATGTGGATAAACACCAGCACTGATGAGGAGGAGGAGGCTGAGCAGGAGGAAGAGCAGCTCCCATGGCTGGGAGGAAACCAGGAGAGCCAGGAGCAGTGTCCAGCTCCCAGCCCTAAGCAGGATGAGCTCAAGGGAGTGACCAACATCCCAGGACATGGAAATGCCACCAGATGTGCCCAAAGCCACTCATGGAGCCATGAGTGGGACACAGCGCTCTTGGCATCTCAGCAATGAGTGTGCAGAAGGACCCAAAGGCACCAGGAAAACCTCCCACCTCTCTGGAAGCTCTGGCCCAGCCCAGTGGCTCCATCATCACCATCCTCCTCCTCAAAGAGCTCCTCAAACACCTCCCACTGCCTCAGGGACAAACCTGACTGAGCAGGCCTGGGGGGTCAGCTGAGGATTTCCCAGTTTCTGAATGAGGATGGACTTTGTGGCTCCCCAAAATCCCCACTTGGAGCTGCCAGGGAGCCTGGAGGATGACTCTGATTTCCATAAGGAAATGCAGGGAAAGTCTTCACCTGCATTTTAAATCGGTGTTGCAACAGCATCAGGCCTGAGGCAAAGGGAGCAGGACACAGGTGGGATTCTCTGTCACTGCTCAGCCACGTGCAGGGAGGGAATTGGAAGCAGATGTCGACCAAAAGGAGCTCCAAACCCTTCCAAGCCACTGAGCTCACAGGTCCCTGGGCTGCCTCTGCCCCCAGTCTGGGCTTAGAGATCTGCCCAAATCAACACACCCAGAAATGTAAATGGAAAACTTCTGCCTGAGCAGGATCTGCTGGGTTTACCAAGGCTCTGCCATTCCAGGGTGCAGGAACCTCTCTGTGCTCTCTGATTTTGTTTTCAGTGAGACTTGGGAGGATGGGAAAAGGCAGCATGGGCAGAACCAAAGGGATTTTGTACCTTGTGAGGATCCACATTTGCACAATGCATTTTAATTTTCCTTCCAGCTCCTTCTCCATCAGCTGCAGGGAAAAAAAGGCAGGATTTTCCTGTGATCCATGTTTGTGCCAAGGGATGCACAGGCTGTGTCCCAGGACAGCCACAGGCTGTGTGCCAGGGGCACAACCACAGCTCCTAAAGCAGAGGGATCACAAAATAAATGTTTGATTTTAGGATCACAAGGTGCTCAGGCAAAGATCCAGTGCTGAGTCAGGGCTCTACCAAGTCCCCTATATTCTCTACAATAAACAGATGGGGTTTTTGGGGGGAAGGAATGCCTTTTGCAGACACTGAGGTTGAAAAAAATCAATAAATCCAGAGCACACTTTAAAAAATGCTTGTACTTTACAAAAGAGAGCTTTTTAAAAATTCAAATGGTTTCCCCCCCTTTTCAAAATATTTTCTCTCTGTTTTATTATCTTTTTAAAGTTTTTCATGCTCCCAATACTTTCAAAAAGATATTTAAAAGGGTTAAATATTCACTCTGACCACCCGAAAGATTTTCTCCCACCGTGTTTTTATTGCACTGAATCAAAAGAAAAACTTTTTGGTTCAAATAAACTTGAAACAATTCCTTCTCCTCCCCCCTTCCCTCCAGCATTTTGGTTTAGCCAGTGAGTGGAAAAATCAATTATTCGCACTCCTCCAGCCCGATAAAAAGCTTCAGGACTCCACAAAGAGGCTCGAGGGAGCAGTTGTGTTGTACAGCAAATAAAACGGGCTCAGGTTCTCAGCTCTCCTCCTGGGTCACCCGGGATCCTGCGCTGAGCTCGGCGCTGCTGCGGTGACACAGGCAGTGGAGAGGCAGAGCATTGTCACTGGGGGAACTAAAACATCCTCCTGGTGGGACATCAGATCCTCCTGGGGGGACATCACATCCTTCTTTGGGGATATCACATCCTTCTTTGGGGACATCACATCCAGCTTTGGTGGGACTTCACATCCTCCTGGGGGGACATCAGATCCTCCTGGGGGGACATCACATCCTCATGGGGGGACATCAGATCCTCCTTTGGGAACACCACATCCTCCTTCTGGTGGGACATCACATCCTCCTCCTGGTGGGACATCACATCTTCATGGTGGGACGCATGTCATCCTGGTGGGACGTCACATTCTACTTTGGTGGGACATCACATCCAACTTTGGTAGGATATCACATCCTCCTGGTGAGACATCACACCCTTCTTTGATGGGACATCAGATCCTCCTGGGGGAACATCACGTCCAGCTTTGGTGGGACATCACGTCCAACTTTGGGGGGCCATCACATTTTCATGGTGGGACACACACATCACATCCAACTTTGGAGGGACACGAGATCCTCATGGTGGGACATCACATTCTCCTTTGGTGGTTCATCAGATCCAGCTTTGGTGGGACATCACATTCTCATGGCGGGACACACGTTGTCCTAGTGGGACATCACATCCTTGTGGTGGGACCTCATGACTGAGGTCCCTGACGAGCTGAGGCTGCCCTGACCCGTCTGGAGCCAGGGCTGAGCCCGTTCCCACCCCACAGTGACAGACACCCCAAGGAACAGCCCCAGTGTCCCCCCAGCCCCTGCAGCACCCAGAGCCACACTGCCTGCAGGGAATGAGGGGGGAAGGACTGGCAGAGATAAATAATGCTGTGATATTTCAAGATACAGTCTCCAAGCATGTTTTTGGTTCCAGGGTTTTTGAGAGTGAATTTATGCGTAGCTGCAGTGGAAGTAGGGTTTTTAAAGCAAACTACACATTAAAAGTAAATCAATATTAATTTCTGGAGCCTTTTATTTCCAGCCTCCAGCTGGCTGCTGTGTTTGCTCAGCCCTCTAAAATCTGGTAGGAAAGCTGTTGAGGAAGGAGAAGGTGCAGAAGGAGGCCTGAGAACCTGTGTCAAAGGAATGTGACACTCAGGGCCATCACTGTGACAGCTGCTCTGGGTCGTGTCCTCCTTGTAAAAGATTTCAAGGAAATGAAGCTGAGGAATGCAGAAAGGTGAAGATGGGGATCTCTGTGTTTCATTAAACAAACTCAGCCCAGGTGAAACCCAGGTGGCCTCCAAGGGTCAGCCTGGGTGGAGCCGGAGCCTTTCCCCACCAGTAGTCACCGAATCCTGGAACAGTTTGGGTTGGAAAGGACCTTAAAGGACTTAAAGATCCGGTGCCATCCATCCAGTGCCACCCCTGCCATGGGCAGCGACACCTTCCACTGTCCCAGGTTGCTCCAAGCCCCGTCCAACCTGGGGACACTTCCAGGGATCCAGGGGCAGCCACGGCTTCTCTGGGCACCTGTGCCACGGGGATCCACCAGATCGTCGCTGCTGGGAGGGTTTTGGCCCCCGGGCTGCATCAGCCGCCGGTGCCGGTGTCGATGTCGGTTCCGATGCCGGTGCCGGCATCCCTAACCCCGGGGCTCCATCAGCTGCTGGTGTCGGTGCCGGTCCCGGTGCCGGTCCCGGTGCCGGTCCCGGTGTCCGTCCCGGTCCCGGTGCCGGTCCCGGTGCCGGTCCCGGTGCCGGTGTCGGTTCCAGTGCCGGTGCCGGTCCCGGTGTCGGTTCCAGTGCCGGTCCCGGTGCCGGTCCCGGTCCCACCCCGTCCCTCGCTGCGGCTCCGCCCCGTCCCCTCCCGTCCCGCCGCCGTCCCCGCCCGCCGCGCTCCCGGTGCCGCGGGGCAGCCGCAGCATGGCCGAGCTGCGCATCGCCCCGGCCCCGAGCCCCGCCGCTGCCCCGCTCCCTCCGCCGGCCGCAGCCCCGGCGCCGGCCCCGGTCCCGATCCCGGCCCGCCCCTCGGCGCCCGCCCCGGGCCGCCCATAAAAGCGGCCCCGCGCCCGCCCAGCTCCGCCGCCGCCGCCGCCGCTCCGCCGCCGGCCATGGCCAAGGACCAGCTGAAGCCGCGGCTGTGCCGAATGCTCAAGGGGGAGAGCGGCTACGGCTTCCACCTGCACGGCGAGAAGGGCAAGAGCGGCCAGTTCATCCGCAAAGTGGAGCCCGGCTCGCCCGCCGAGGCGGCGGGGCTGCGCGCCGGGGACCGCGTCGTGGAGGTGAACGGGCTCAACGTGGAGCAGGAGACGCATCACCAGGTGCGGGACGGAGCGGGGGCACGGCCGGGGCACCCCGGGCCGAGCCGGGCTGTGCCCGCTCCAGCGGGGGTTTCACCCGAGATATCCCGAAATATCCCCGCTGGAGCATCCCCGGCCTGGCCGCGGCGGGGCGGCTGCGGCGGTGGGGCTGTTGCAGCTGTGGGTGGGTGTCCCGGTGGGGTGGGTACCGCAGTGGGCTGGGTGCCCCGGTCGTGTGGATGCCCCCCGAGATGCCAGGGCCGGGCTTTGCGTGGCCCGGGAGCCGCAGCTCCGTGCGGGGTCGCGGCGCCGGGCGCTGCAGTCGTGTCAAGGTGGGGAAGGCGAAGGAAGGTGTGTGTGGGGCTGGGCAGGGCTCTGCCGCGTTATGCAATCGGTGGTGGAAAGGAATGGGGAGACCCGGGCTTTATTTCCGGCTCTGCTGTGGGTTTTCTTGGCTGCTTTAGGCGAGCTGCGCCTGCCTGTGCAGCTCGGAGTGTAGGAAGATGCCTGAAAATCTCCAGATAGAGCTGTGCAGATGTTCAGCGGTTGGGCTGGCCAGGGAGCGATAGGGCTCGGAGGGGAGCCCTGGCTCTTCCTGACCGCGCTGGGACCGGGCAGCTCCGAGGGTGCTGTTTCTGCTCCAACAGAAGCTGTTTGTTTCAGGCTCTGGCATTTTCTCCTTGTAAAACTGAAACTTACATTTGTCAAACAATTTAGTCTAAAAAAACCCAAGAAATGCGGAAAAAAGCAAGCAATGAGAACGAAAACAAACAAGCAGTGAGGTTCAAGCTGCTCCAGTCCTGCTGGACACTCGGAGCCTGGCAGGGGCACAATTTGCCTCGTGGTTTGTGGGGCTCTGCAGGATTTGGTGTTTTAGTAACTTAAAACATCTGCTCAGCCCCGCTGCCAGCACTGCAGGGGACAGAGCTGAGATTGCCTGGACCCTGCAGAGTTTTGGGGGGCTCTGTGTCCCCAGACCTCACCCCAGGTGTGGATGTTGCTGTGCTGAAGGTGAAGCTGATCCTTCCAGGTGGCTCCAATGAAGCCCCGTGTGCTCCTCTCCATGAGCCTGGTGGGGTTTGCTGAACTGAGCTTGTTTTGATGCTCCGAGCCAGCCGTGTGAAAGTTGATGTTTGTCCTGAGAGCGGTTTCAAACCCCTTGAAGGAGGATCCCCATCTTTGATGTGGCTGGGCAGGAAGGAGGGCTGTGTTCCTGTGGTGCCTTGGAAGCCAGCAGAGCTCCCTGCTGGCGCTGGGCTGCTGGGAACGGGCGATAGCGGAGCCAGCTGCGCCTTTGAAACGTGCTGGGGCTTCCCAGTAGGTCAAGTGAAATGGGAGGGGGAAATTTCTCTTTCTTCCTTTTTTTTTTTTTTTTTTTAAATTTTATTTTTTTGTTGTTTGTTTTTGTTGTTGCTGCTGGCGGCAGGATGGAGCGCTGGCACTGCCTGCTGCAGAGCAGTGATTGGAACAGGGTGTCCCATCCAGCGTGTCTAGGAGCTCGGTGCCACTCTGGCTGCTGTGGCGCTGGGGTCTGTGACAGTGCCAGTGGTGGGAGCCCCGCCTGCTCTGGGATCACCATTTTCCTGCCTCAATGCCACAAGAACCTCTTCATTCCCCCAAAGCACTGATGGGCCGTGGCGAGGGCGATGCCCTGGTGGGTCACACGATGGCTCTGAGCAGCCACTTCACCGTGGCCCTTCCTCTGCTCCTTGCCCAGCCTTGAACAAGTAACACTTCTCCATTGCACAGGGGAGCCCGCAGCACACAAGGCCTCGCCGGTTGGGTGTAACTGTGTTTCCAGCTGAAGCTGGCAGCATTTTTGTCTTTGTTCTCAGTTTTTTTTTTCTTTGGCCATGCCCAAGGAGCGAAGGCAGTGCATGCTCTGTCTCAGGCTTGCATGCTGGGTTCCTCGGAACCGGGCAGAGCTGCAGCTCCTGGGCGCAGAAAGGCTCCTGGTGCCCGGGGAGCCTGGCAGCATGGAGCAGGGCCCGGGCACCTCTGTGGGAGCTGCTGGTGGCACCGTGAGTCCTTCCTGGGCGCTGCTGTTTGGCGAGGGTGGCGGGGCCAGCATTGCCGGGCTGGCGCTGCTGGCGCAGGGGTAAAGTCTGCCTGGGTGGGGCTGCGGAAATGGTGGGGCTGGCTCGGGTGCTCAGGAGGTCCCAGATGAGCAGGGCAGGCTGCATTGTCTCCAGAAGCTGCGGGACTCCAGCCTGGGAGCATGGCTCGCAAGCGGGTATGGCGCTGGGCAGGAGCTGCTCTGCCTGCCACCTCTCTGCTCTGCCCCCAGGGAGACCTGCTGCCTTGGGGGGCTCCTCGCAGCCCCTGCTGCCTTGGGGGGCTCCTCGCAGCCCATTCTGCTCGTCCTGCTCGTGGGGAGGGGGCAGGGGGCTGCTCTGTGCCGCTCTCCATCCCTGCTCAGCCCCCAGCGCTTGTGGGACCTTCGCTCCATCGCTGCTGTGGCTGTTGGGGGGCTCGGCCATGGGGTGAGCCCAGCACTGCTCCATCCCAGCTTTGGACCCTTCTGCGGACCCTCAGAGTTTCTCTGCAGTCTGTGGGACCCCTGTGATCCCCTGTGCTTCCTGGAGCACCCGAACTGCAGGCTGTGGGGGGTGTCCCTACAGCACCTTCCCCGTCCCCATCTTTGCTGCTGTGCTTTGGCTGCTGCTGCCAGATCCCCTCTGGGGGAAGTGTCCCTGCACAGGCTCTGCTGGTGTCAGCAGCACTGTCTGATGGCAGATGTAAACGGATCTGAACGGGAGCAGATGGATTTTGTGGGCCTGGTGGACCAGCACCCTCCAGGCTGGTTACAGGAGGGATCCTGGATCGCTGCTGTGCAGGCAGGGCTGCAGTGCATGAGTTGGTTCAGCCCTGGCTGCAGCCTGCACATTTCTTCCAGGCTGGTTTTTTTCTTGTTTGCAGATACCGGCTCTGTTGACCTTGAGTGGAGCTCGCAGGGAGTAAATAAATGCTGGTTAATTGCGTATTAGGCTCGTTTGTCGCTCTAACCTTGGCGTGTCTGGCCGCTGTGACCTAGATCAGAGCAGGAGCCCTGCAAGGAGCCCCGGGCTGCTTTTGGGGGGTTCTCAGCACGTCTGGGGTGTTCAGGGCTGCCCCATGGCTGGGGATGGCGGCTGAGCAGCACTTGGAGCAATGCCACCCCTCCTCCTCCTCGGGATGAAGGCCTGTGCAGGGAGGAGGTGTCCTGGCAGCTGCCAGCAGTGAGTCTGGAGCTGGTTTCCCTGTGGATGTTCTGGGTTTTCCCTGTCTCCATCCCACTCTGGTGGGATTTAGCCCTGCCTGGCTGTGGGATCAGCTCCTCCTGGCTCTCTGCAGTGTCAGTGCCTGTCGGAGCCTCTGCCAGTCCCTGATCCTGCAAAGGAGCCGGGCACAGCAGGACAATGTCCCCATTCAGCCCTGCTGGAGCTGGATCCTGCCAGGGACGGGCTCATCTCCCGCTCCCAGCACTGGCTCCCCTCTTCTCTGCTGCTTCCCAGCACGGGCTGGGGATGGGTGCATGGATTGGGCTGTTTGCTTCCTAAATCTACCCCTAGCCTGCACAATGCTGTGGTGGGGACAGTCCAGCACCTGACTGCGCTCATTGGTGCTTGGAGCCTTCCTGTGCCCCCTGGCTCGTGCCCTGCCCTGGGTATGGGAGTAGAAGGACACCCTGGATTGAGGAGATGAGGGTGTTTGCTTGGTGGGACAGACTGCACGGGACAGAGGGTTGCTGATGCTCGAGGGGCAGTACCAGCCTCTGGAAGCTCCTGACCGAGCAGGAGGCCATCCCAGGTGTCTGGGCAGGGTGATCCTGGCTGGTCTGGGCAGAGCTGCTGTGTGGCTGCAGGACCTGGGCTGGAGGAGATCCCCAGGGATCTCTCAGAGCTGTGTCCTTGCCCTTTCTGCCCCATCACCTGTATCTGGGAGCACAGCCCTGTACCCAGACTGGAGCTGCAGCGCTGGGGGGGAGCTGATGGCCCTTGGGCGCCACCCCCAGTGTCCCCATGGCTCCATCTGAGCTGTCCCTGTCGTCCCCAGGTCGTGCAGCGCATCAAGGCCGTGGAGACGGAGACGCGGCTGCTGGTGGTGGACAAGGAGACGGACGAGTACCTGTGCAGCCTGCGGCTCACCTGCACCGAGGACATGGTGCACAACGGCATCGTGCTGGGCTCGGCCGTGCCCCCTGCCAAGGGCCTGCCCAGCGACAACGGCGAGCTCTGGAAGCCACAGCTGGATCTGAGCGGGGGCGGCCTCCAGAGGCATTCCCACAGCTTCTCCTCCCACGGCAGCAGGAAGGTGAGGGGGGCTGTGGGGACCCCCTGGGATTTCCTTTCTCCTTGGGCATGGCTTGTCCCATCAGAGAAACCCTTCTGTGTGTGACTGTCACCCTGGGGACCCCCAGAGTGGAATCTCTCACTCCTGGCAGTTTGGGGCTGTACATTCCCTTCCCTCCGGTATCCCGAGGGTCTCCTGAGCTGCTGGGGGGCTCTGGGGGCTGCCAGTCCTGGGGACAGTGACCCCACGGTGCCTCAGCCAAGGCTGGTGTCCCAGCCTGGTCTCAGGCTGCCCAGAGCAGGGCTGTGGCCAAGCTGGAGCTCATGAATGAGCTTCTCTGCCTCCATTATTCGCCGGAGGGAGGGAACATCTGGGCTGAACGTGTTCGCAGCTTTTTGCTGAAATGGGAAGTTAATTGGCTCTTTTCAAGCGGCCTGGGTCTGGCCTGGGACTCGGCACTAAGTGCCTTTTATTGGTAAACTCCTTTCCAGAAGGGAAGGAATTCGGGGTGGAACAGGTCCAGTTTCCATGGCTGCGGGGCTGGAGCCGGCGCCGGCAGGAGCGGGGCTGATAGCGGGGCTGGCTGGGGCTGCGGGGCTGGCAGGAGCTGCTGGGTGCTGTGTGCCCTCCTCCACGGCCATCTGTGCCCTCCCAGCCCTGTCTCCTGTCCTGTGCTTGCTGCTCTGGGCTGCTCAACAGCCTCTGCAGCACGGAGCTGCTGGGATCCCCTCCTCCTCCTCCTCTTCGTCCTCCTCCTCCTCCCTGGGGCCCTGCAGGGGCTGCGCTGCCAGCCTGGACTCTGTCCCCTCGCACTGGGGGTGGTGGCCGAGTGCTGGCCCAGAGGTGGCCGCTGGGCTGCCAGGAGGACATCCATGGGAAGGTTGGGAAAGCGCTGTGTCCTCAGGAGCCCCTCGTGCAGAAATCCCCCCTGCACATAGGGGTGATGCTCCTGAGGCAGGAGAGGGGCTCCAACCTCTGGTGCTGCCCCTGGAGCTGTTTGGAGTCTTGCAGAGAAGGCTTCCCCTTCCCTGGGCCAGCCTCGGAGGCTGTGCTTTGTTTTTCTTTATTTTCCTTTATTCAGTGCCTGATTTGAAGCTGTGTGTGTACGAGGGTGGTGCTGGCTGTGTTTCCCTGGGGCTGCAGCCCCCTGGGACAGGGACAGGAACCATTCCCAGGGACAGGGTGGCTCTCACAGGGGCATTTCCTGCCCTGGTTGGGCTCTGGGGGCTGCAGCCCCCCAGGACAGGAGCCATTCCAGGGACAGGGTGGCTCTCACAGGGGCATTTCCTGCCCTGTTCCCTGCGCTGGTCGCGCTCCAGCAGCGAGAGCTGACGGGAAGTCAGGCCGGGGAACAGGACGGTCCTTTCCGGCCTTTGGGCTGTGGCTCCTCCGAGGAGAGGGTGGGACAGGGAGAGCAGGGCTGGCAGGGGTTGGAGAGCCCCTGTTCCCCCCAGAGGGGCTGTTCCTGGGCACTCACTGTGCCGGACACAGGGCTGATGTTTGGGCTGGACAAGGGGAGCTGGTTCTAGGGGTGATTCCCCCCTTGTGGGGATGGGTTTGCTCCTGCTGAGCACCCTGGGGTGGTTTGTTCCTGCCCCAGCAGCTCTCAGGAGAGCTGGGCACTGCCAGCTGTGCTGCCAAGGTCATTTCTCCATGCCAGAGCCGTGTGTGACTCTGGGGTGAGGTCAGGGGTGGCTGGAGCAGCAGGACCTGCATCCCGCTCCTGGGCCTCGCCATCCTGCCTGACTCAGGGAGGTGAAACCTGCCCCAGGCTCCTGGTCTGGTTGCTGTGTCCCCCTTGCAGGCTGCCAGAGCAGCAGAGGGGGTGCTGGACCTCAATTTCTGCCCTGCCCTGTGTCCCTCCGTGGGGCAGCTTGAGCCTGACCCTAACCCAGCAGCTCACAGGCACTGCAATGTGCAGCTCCTGGGTCTGGGAGATTTCTGCTGCTGCAGTGAGGCTGGGATAAACCAGGGATTGTTCCCCAGTCAGATTTAGGGCTTTTCTGAGCTTTCCTGGAGGCGTGCAGTGAAGGAGAGGAGGCAGCTCCTTCCCCCTGCAGACCCGTGGCCCCAAGCTGTCCCTGTGGGAGCTGGGGCTGCTGCTCCAGGGAGCTGCATTTTTGTCAGCAGCGTTTGTTTATAGAAAGCCTGGAGTTTTCCTGCATTGGAGGCCGGGGTTGTTCAGGGCAGCCTGAGGAGAGGAGCAGCTGAAGCAGAACGAGGAGGGAAATCTGGTGGTGGTGATGGAGCAGGAGGGTGGGCACGGCCCTGCCACCCCCCAGAGCTGCCCTGGGTGTGGGGAGGTCACCGTGCACCCCGGCAGGAGCTGTGCCCAGCACCTCGTGCTGCAGGAACCTCGGTGGCGCCATGAATAATTCAGCATGTATTTAAAATCCTGCCCGGGGAGAGGTCAGCAGGGCTGGCAGCCAGCAGCTGTGCCTGTCACAGCCCTGCTGTCCCCAACACCGTGGCCGTGGTGGCACAGGGAGCCAGGGCTGTCCTGTCCCGCAGCATTGTGCCCATTCCTGTGTCTGCTGGGCTGGGGAGGTTTGTCCCACTCTGTCCCCTGGCAGGGCATGTGTCCCCCATGCCAGGTGCTCCCCTGTCCCCACCAGGCTGTTCCCAGGGCTCTGGCTGTGCCCTGCCTGGGGTGCACAGGTGGGGTTTGGGGGTCCCAGCGTGCCAGGGCTGCTCTGGGTGCTGGCTGTGAGCTGCTTTAATGGCAAAGGTGCCTTTGGCCGCGGCAGGCTGTGATAAACCCTGGGCTGGTGGTGTGTGAAAGGCAGGGGAGCTGCAGGGCTCCCAGCGCCTCACCTGGGTGCTGCTGCTCGTTCCAGAGGTGTCCTGGTGGCACCTTTGCAGGGCTGTGGCCCTGCTGTCCCATTCCTGCAGGGCCCTGGGACCCCGTTATGGCCGTTAGGGACGTCCTTGGGGCTTGCTGCCTTCTCCAGGTGTGTTTGTAGGAGAAACAAGGACAACAGCAAAGCCAGAGAGGCGTTGGGGTGATGCAATTCCCTTCCTTCATGCTCTGGTCTGCAGGGGGTGGCTGTGCAAAGGGACCTTTACAGCCTTGGTGAAGGATAAACTTCTCCAGGGTTTATCCTTTGGAGGACAGACCCACATCTTGGAGCTGCTGGATTCAGGCCTGCTGAGTCTGGGGATTGAAGTGGGAAGGAATTGGTGGCTGGTTGCTGATTGTGCTGTGCTGGGGAGGGATGGGGCACCCCAGGATCACTGCTGGCAGGAATTGGGGCAGCAGGATGGTGTCCCGGGGGTGACAGGGGGTGGTGGCAGCAGGATGGTGTCCCTGGAGTGACACAGGGGTTGGTGGCAGCTCCTGAGCCCCGCATGTGCCTGGGGCCAGCTGTGCTGCTCTGAAGGACGATGGACCAGGTGTGGGGTCAGTGCTGACCTCGAGGCAGTCAATATTTACCCTTCTCTCTGGGCCAGGAGTCAGAGCTTGTGTCTGTTGCAAACAAACCCCAGTGCTGTGATGTGTCCTGCCCCAGCCCTGCGAGGGGAATAACTCAGCACAGATGTCTTTGGAGCACTTTGCCAGCTCAGCTGAGGCCCAAAATTTAGGGCTTGTAGAATAACCACAGAGATGTAATAAAACCAAACATGAGCAGAAATGTCTGCAGCAATTATGCAATTTAGAAAAAAAAAAAAAAAAGTGGATGGTTTGAATTAAAGTGCTTCCCTGCAGCATCTTCCACTGCCCGCGGCAGGCTGGGCTCTGTGGGAAAGGTGGGAAGGATGGCACAGCCCAGCCCTGGCACGGCCCAGCCCTGGCACGGCCTGGTGAGGCTCCTGCTGGGCAGGGAGAGTGTGGGGAACCCTCTGTGTCCCAGTGCATCCCTGCCCTTCCCACGGCTGCTGCTTTTGGGGGTGCTGGGTCTGAGAGGGCAGAGATGAGGGGAAGCTGTGTTTGTGCCACCCTGGGGGCATCAGGGATGTGCCGCCCTGGGGGCTTTGCCCATTTTTGCTTTAAAAAAACCACTTTGCAAAGCCGACTGTGCACCTGCAGTGTGGAGCTGCCCCTGGCTGAGGACATGGATGGGATGGATGAGGAAGGGATGGGATGGGATGGGATGAATGAGGAAGGGAAGGTGCCTGGAGAGGCTCTGGCAGCCCCCCAGTCCCTGCCATGTGTCCCTGAGGGTCTGTGTGGGTGGGAGCTCAGCCAGCAGCAGCACAGGGCTCCCTGGTTTTGGGATCTCCATCCCAGCAGCAGCAGCAGTCGGGCGGGGCTGTGGGGCCGCCCTGCTGACCCCGCTGCATTATTGATGTCCCCGGGCTGTGGCATCGCGTGTCACCGGCTGGGGGTGGGCTCGGGAGCGGCTCCAGCTCCGCAGCTCGGCACCGGGGGCTGGGACACCTGGGGATGCGCATCCTCGTCCCTGGGGGATTGCACATCCCCATCCTCATCCTCATCCCTGGGACTGCCAGGGCCAGGCTGGACCCAACCCGGGATAATGGAGGTGTCTGAATGAGATGGACAGGAGCTCCCTTCCCATTGTTAGGAAAATTAATCCACAAACACCACAGGTTTATGTTCAAAAAGGAGACAGAGGAGTCCTTTTTTGCTTTATGTGAAGGCCATGGGGCATCCCCTGCGATCTCTCCAGTTTTTGGAGGATGCAGCCTCCTTTTCATCCCAATTTCCCGGCTGCATTTCCCTTCTCTCTTTCCCCGTTTCTGAGGTACTTGAGAGGTTCAGACTTCCCAATATGCCTGATACCAAAGATCTCCCTCTAATGTATAACCCTCCCTTTTCATTTTTAATTCTTACAGAATTTAGAGGTTTTTTCCCCATTGGCTGAGGTACTTGAGAGGTTCAGGCTTCCCAATACACCTGATACTGAAGATTTCCCAAAGATTTCCCTCTAATGTAGAACCCTCCCTTTTAATTTTTAATTCTTATGGAATTTAGGGGTTTTAAAAGCAAACATATTTTTCCATCCATCAATCAGTGAAATCCTTCCCATTGTATCTTTTACCTCCCAGTGCTGCTTTTGTCC